AGGTATGACGCCACAAGTATAGGAATTATACTTGTTTAATCGATAAATTTCACAAAGAACTTTGAAGAGAAATTAACTCACAAGAGTAATTTTTATATATGAGATTAGATGAGTACAAATGATGGCAAGCCACTCTATTTATAGGAAATGAGAGGGCTTGGTCGAATGGTTACATATCTATTCGGTTGATTTATGGCTTTTATTGAAAGTACATAATGCTTAAAATGAATGAATGAGTCATTTGGGCTTGTGATGGTTTGGCTAACCCTTCATGAAGGGGCTTGATGATTCGGCTAAGGATGGGAAGACATATCCCTTGGTCGAATGATGATGTATCTCCTCATGTTGGCGCAAAAATCTCTCATGTGCATGGCAAGTGTGTGGCCGAATAGGCATGGAGCTTTATATCACTTCCCTTGGTGTTTTAAGCCTCCAATGGTTGCAATTTCTTCACCAGAATGCTCTTAGATGAGAAGGCATCTTCATGGACAGCATCATTCATGAAAGGTCACAATGTTTGGGAAAGGTAACCCTTCATGTTTGAGTTACTTATGGTGTGAATGAGATGGAGGTGAACTAGCCATAGATGACTTGTAGCATGGATATTATGGCAGCTCCTTGTGAAAAGGTTCATCTTGAGGTGGCAACTATTCGCGAAAAGGTACAATTTCACAAATTTTGACTTAGGACATATTTGAAGTGTCCTAAGTGGTGATGATGATGGTGCAGTTCCCCAGCTGAAATGAGGTTATCTTGTAGCTCAAATCTTTAGCTCAATCCAGCTATGAGCTCACGACCTTTAGATAACTTTTCACCAATTTGCTCCGTATGCTCTCATAATCGTTCCCATGTAAGTTTCCTTGTTGTTGCATGCTCCATTTAGCTCCAATGTAGCTCCCAAGTATTGGCCAAATATGCCTACATGCATAACATAAATAAATAAATTAAGTATATAAACTTATATAATGTATAATATAAGAATGTGGACTATAGTATATTATAATAACTTATATCTCACATATTAATGGATAAGTTATCATCATAATAACTATATATATAATATATATAGATGAAAATAACTATATTAAAACTTTTGAAATAAACATATATATGTGTAAAGTTAGAAAGTTTCTTCCCTCGTAAGGGTGGAATAGCCATTGTAAACATGATGCTGAATTGGATCACATCACGAAGAGAGAGAAAGATAATCGAGCAAAAAAAGAAACCTTGTCTTTTTGCGATGAACAATCTTAATTTCTTTGCTAGAGCAAGGAACTGTTCGACAATCGAAAGTAACCCTCTTTGAACATCTTGGCTGAGAGTTATTTGTGAGTGAGGGATGTCTCTTTCGATTTTGTTTGAGAGGTTTAGGGGTTTTGAATGTCCTATTTTAGGGGTTTAGGTTCGAAAAGGATTTTGTTAAGGTGTCTTTACCCATCTGCGGGCCTTACGTTCATCTCCTCTTTCAAAAGGAATATAGGAGAGAGTGATAGTGAGGACTGTAAATGATGGATTAGGGTTTTGCTTAAATAAATCCGAATGAATAAAAAATCATAATTTAAATATATATTTATATTTATAATTGTCACATTTAGATAATATGTAATCGTCTAAATATCGATATTGGGTGTTATGAGATGTTCAATCTATCTAATTCAAAATCAATAATGACTCTAAATTAATTTATTTTTTCAAACTCAAAGTTTACCTTATTAAATTTTTAAAAATTACCATTGCCAGCTCAAGGATTGTACACACAAATGCATAAAATATATGGTAGGAGTATAATTATTGTGTGCGGTGAACAATGATTTCATGTTCCACCTTGATGATGAGGTTTAACAAAATCAGTAATGTATTTTTTTAGCCGGATTTAAGGCGTTGTACGTGATCATTTCCTCATAAAATGGGAAGTGATTCTTGAGTGTATAGTGGACATGAAATCTACCTTTTTTCAGGGAAATGATCATGTGTGGCGCCTTAATTTACGGTTAAAAAATGCACTACCGATTTTGTTATTATTTAAATAACAAAATCGGTAAAAAATTACCGAAAATATTATTAGTTCTACCGATTTTGTTATTATTGGGCGTTTTACCGGGTTTGTTAACAAAACCGGTAAAGCGCTACCGGTTTTGTTATTGTTGGGTACTTTACCGGAAATGTTAAAAAAACAATGATGTTTTATGTAGAAATAATAGAGTTTTAGGTAAATTTTCACCGGATTTATTATTTAAATAAAAACAAAATCGATAACGTTTTTTTTAACCGTATATTAAAGGTGTCGCACCGTAGAATTTTTCACTTTATGAACCCTAAAAAATAAACAAGAAATAAAACATCACCGAGTACTTTGATTGGGTATTACCACGTGCGACTATGCTCATCTAACTCAGACCACGCACGTGCTTCAATTATACATGCAATCAGTTCTCTTCTACTACTTAATTGTAAAGTAAAGAATATTAGAAATCATTTTATTAAGTTAATTGTAAAGTAATGTGACATTTCTCCTTCTATTCCCACCTTGGACTTGCCATGAACATCCTCACATTTGACAAAATTGCCTGCATCTATCTCAAATGGTTGGATTCTTTTGCAAAACAGCTAATTCGAAGCACTTGGATTTCCTACAAAATAGCTAGCAATTTAGTTTAACGTTTTCTTCATGAATATGTTCTTTGACAAAATATCGGAAGTTCAATGTTAAAAATAAAGCATTCTAAATTTTAGTAACCAAATCGAAATAAAAACTAAAGTTTAGTGACTAATAGAATAGTTTACCCTACATTATATGATCCACATTTTCTTGGTATAAAATATGATACATTTTTTTGCCTCTCGTTAGTGGCTTCCCACAACTACACAACGTGCATGGATCGGGTTTGATTCGATTTTTGGTCAATTTGATGTGATTCAAAAATTATACATCTTTTACCTGTTCTGATCTGACACAAAAATATACATCCTTCACCCGACTTGAATTCGAATTAACTTTTTAGATAAAATTTGAACTTGACTCGATACGACCTGAAATAATATATTTATAAATTAATATTATCTTTATTCAATAAAAAAGTGATTTAATTGAAAGAATAATATATAAAGGAGTATTATTATAATTATACCTAAATATATAAGATAAAATAATTTTTTTCGAATTCGATTGAATTAGATATTTTTCATCTTAAATTCGATTTTGTCACCCATTTTTTATAAAAAAAAAATCGACCCAATCCTAATATTTGGGTCCCATGCCCAACCCTACCCACGACTCATTGACACCATTCTCCTTCAATCACGATAACATTAATCTCCCTACTTTCATAGGCATCCATCATTCTGCACCTAATCTTATTATTTTTGTTTTGAAATATATGTTTTACATGTCTAGCTAATTATTTACATTAACAATTCCATGTATGATTAACATTGAAAAGCAACTAAAATGGAATTTGAATTTTGGAATGATAAGGGTAAGGGTAGTAGAAAAATAAAACTGGTGCGATGGGGTTGTTGGCAATGATTCAACAAAAGCAGTAATGAATCGGGTGGGGATCAAAAACGAGCAAACTAATTAGACTAAGCGAATATTGCAATGATTTTCTTGGAGAATGGTGTTGGATATTACTTAAATCACCAAACAACATGCAAGCTGATCCAACTGTGGATCATCAGAATGTAGGACACTTGTTGCGAAATGAATGGACAGTCAACACCGATCATTGAAAATTTTCATGGTTCATTTATGTTTGTGTCTGTCGGTCAGAGAGAGAGAGAGAGAGGACTTTGTGAAGGATAAATTGCATTATACAAGTCATCAACTGGGTTTAATCTCCTGGATGATTCATACAATAAAATTTAGAAGTTAAACCCACTTTTAGATACGAAAGAAAGAAGAAAGCCATCATTTGCACGTGTCTATCCAATTCCATCACCATAAAGGTAAGATAATGTGATCATGATCATACATGAACTTGGAGCATATGTACAGTACTTGATAGATAGGGAAACTAAATATTACCGGATAAACCTGTACCTCCACTGGAATTGAAACCAGCAGTCTTCTTTAGTCCATTCACTCCATGTTTTCAAAATATTAGGTAGATAATTGTCGAAACATTTTTAGGTGATTTGATAATATTTTAAAATAATAAAATAAATTTTAACCCTTCACTCTAATAGGCCAGTCAGTCTCTTAGCTTTATTCATTTTTTATTTTACTATTTATTTAGGCTCCGATTACATAGTTTTATGATTATATCAGACACTTGAATATTTTCTGATATGATTTCATATCTGTATCACTCAATGATATTTGAACTATTCATCGATTTTAACTCAAACAATAAAGCAAAAGTAATAAAAGCAACCTGAATTTCTAAATTCATAAACTGTAGTCTGATATTTATGCCGATATTAACTTGAATTTCTAACCATTGTTAGATCATGACATGTTTGGATTTCGGATTCTTGAGCATGATAATTATGTTGTTTTTTTAACAAGGCAAATTGTTGATTTAATTAATTTCCAATGTTTAGGAGTTTCAAATATTGGGTTCTGACATTTTTTTTAAGGTGTTTAGAAGTTTTGTTAGTATGGTACTTCGAAATTCTGAGCCTGTTACTGATATGAGATGAATGGAAAGTCACATTTGTACTTTTGCATGATCAAAAGCTTATCATGGTTGCATTGCTGTTGCTTCTTTTGCAATCAATGTTAGAACTTGTTCGATGCTGTATGATAAAACTTTAATGAATTCAGAAATATTGCTTTTTATTGCTGTGATGAAAATTATACTTCCTGTTCATATTTAATAGTAGTTAAGTAAGAATGCTATAAAAGATATAACTGTATTCTTTGTGTGATTGCCTTATACATTTGCTAGAACCTTGTTAGACTGGGGATGCAGTTATTGTTACATCTTATAAAAGATCTGGAAACCAAGTAAATAAGAAAGAACAGAAAATTTTAACTATCTTCTGAGGTTATATCTCCAGAACAGTAAGCTTGCTACATGTAGAAGAAAAAAAATACTAACCAATTAAGTTTTGACAATGAACCTGTGATTTAAACCACTGATAGGTGGTCAAGCGAATATATTATTTTGAGATACTTTTTGGATGTAACAGTTAATAAGTCGAATCAACCGGTCTATAGTGTAACAATGTTAAATATTAATAAAAAATTTCATTATGATTCTTCTATTTATTTTCCCAAATTTTTGGTATATGGATGGGGAACAATTAACTGTTGCAGATGAGAAAGTTTTGGTAGAGAGGCTTCTTCGTTATCATCCAAAATCTGAAGACAAAATTGAATGTGGACTTGATTCGATTATGGTGAGTTTCTGTTGGTATTATTTTTTATTGAGGTCTTCACTGTTTTAATTGAGTTGCTAGATAATCAAGCACGTCTTCTGGGTAAACAAACTTCTCGGTATTTCCATACCCCAATTTGTAGGCCAAATTGGTGGTTGCATATCTGGATAATATCTATTATAAACTTAACACTGAAGTTGATTGTTTCTTATGTCCTACTCTCTAAATTTTCTCCTGCCTGCATCTGCTATGAATTTAATCAAATAACTAAATATTTTGCAAATGCAAGCAACCTTCTCTGTTCCTTGTATTAGTTGTTGTTTCCCTTTATAATTTGTACGGTATCTGAAAATTGTGTTCAAACGTGGTTCTACCGTGTTTTGGGCCTGAGTTATCTCAAACAAATATTAAAAAAAATTGTTGGCAAGCCTTGATTTTATCCCCACTGAAGAAGATTAATTTTTTTATTGATCATGGTTTTATCCCTTGCTTCTTACTGATATAATCTCCTGTTATTTGTGCTTGAGAAAAATGTCTTTTGGGCCTCCTTGCTCAAGTGAGTGATGAATACATTTGCATCATGTATTATGTTCATACTTTTGCCTGCATGGCAGCATGATATTCTTTACTTTTGGCATTTGGTTTGTGCTGTCATAGACTTGTGGAGAATTTAAGGACAGTTGTACAAATATTTTTTTATGGCTGGATGATCACAGAACATTAAGGATCCTAAGAAGGGGTTCTAGTTAAAATGTTGCATGCCAAGTATATTGGAACTTACACTACACTACCTGGAAAAGTTACATTTCATGTTAATAACTAACATCTCAAAAGTATGCAAATGTACAGAGAAGCATGTACAGTGGTGGTTTTGTTTACCATTTTTTTTTTCATTTCAGAGAGGCTTTACAGTGTTATTATTTAGGCAAATACTTGATTTTTGGGTGTGAAATTATTGCACATATTAATACTCTACCTTATTTATATTGAGCACCATTTGTAGCCGGTTAATTTATTGCACACTTCACACACACTCTCAATTTTATCTAACAGTGCAATTTCAAAATTAGTTTTTTTTTCCTTTCAAAGAAGAATATGTTTCCAATTATAACTTATCAATATGTCCTTAGAATGAGCTTAATATGGATGACTAATCTAGGTAGCATTTTGAGTTTCTTTAGTTACACATGCTGGTTTGGTTGTTCAAACTTCTCTTGCGCTTAAATATTGGACTAACACCGACATTTTTCCTTTCAGTTTATCTCAATTCTCAAGATTGGAATCATACTCTTTTGTTAAACAGAATTTCAATTTCCTATTTTCTTTATTTTTGTGGTGCTAAAATCTTCCTACTGATGCTTTTATGCATATCTATGTTTGTGTTTTTATGCAATAGCGGGCACATAGATTGACAGGATTACTGATCCATTCTTTTGTCTATTTTTGGGACATAGAAACTGTTGTTTTCTCTCTCTCTCTCTCTCTATTTTGCCTCCTAATTTGGCAAAAATTTCTATTGTCTTTACTAATGTTCATAATCTCTTCCTTCTAAGGTTGATCGACATCCTGAATTTAGACACTCAAGGTGTCTCTATGTTGTTAGAACTGATGGTGGATGGATAGATTTCTCATACCAGAAGTGTCTGCGAGCATACATTCGAGATAAGTATCCATCCCATGCTGAAAGATTTATCAGTGAACATTTTCAGAATGAACGCTTTTATGGGAAACTTGCCCGCATGATGTCAGAGTCACCATGAAAAATTATCAATGTTATAGATGACTCTTGACTAACGCTCTCTGTTTGTTATAAATGAAGCCAAAAAAAATGATTGAACTGAGCCTCACTTTGTTGACATGCACCTTTCTTCTCGGCGGTTTTGTTTATCTTATTAGAAGATCCTTATACCTTAGGTCTCGACTTTTTATCTAAAGTTACTAGGATTCCCAAAGCACTTTATTTTATCTATGGAACTTGTCTCAATAGCTAGATAACAGAATTCACATTTCTATCTACTGTTGTAACTCATATTGAATAGTAATCTAATACTAGTATTTTAGAAATTTGATCTTCTTCTTACTATTTATGATTGCGCAATCACCAAATTTCCTTTACTGGTTGACGGCTTGAAACTGGACTTATGTCAGTCAAAGCAGACTGGCTCAGGTCTGTATGTCCAGTCGTTGAATGTTATTTTTCAAAATGGTAGATAACTCTGAATCCTTGTCCGCAAGAATGGGCTTTTTACCCAGATATCATAATAAAAAAATTAATACTGAAAATAACACTTGTTTTAGATTATTTTTGGGATTGACATGTTTTTTACCATGTAGGACAAATGTGCTTCCGATAGAAAGTGCTTTTTATAGGAAGCGTCTCCTGCTAATGTGGCAGAAGCTGTTCAAAACTTAAAAATTAGTCTAAAATGAAAGAAAAGGAGTGATAATCTCATATTGTTTAGATATGAGAATTTTCAAGTGTTTAAATATAATTTTTTAAACATACATTTATTGAGTGATTGAACATAAGGTTAATATACGCCATTGCTGCCCCTTGCCTGACTCATTCTTGTGTAATTAGCACAATATATTTATTCTTTTTAGATAAAATTTATATATATATATTTTTATTTTTTCTCCTTTATTTTAGTACATACTTTCGCCCCTAGACAGAAGGTACAACTTGTAGGGCAACTTTCTAGATAACGTGAATTTATCTTACGTGTCTGAAATGAATGTAATTTTCAGTATTGATTTTTATTTTGGTGATATTTGGGTTAAAACCCCTCAAGAACGTGGGTTGTTTTAGAAGACAAATGGGACATTTTGTTTCTTTATGTGAGTGTTTTTGAGTGGTCACATCTTGCATAGTTGAAACAATAGTATAAAATCCTTGTAGTCAAGTGTAGCATGTGCTATAGTTTTTGAAGTGTTGAAGTTAGGTTTCAATAGTTTGTGATGCTTTTTTATTTGATACTGGAATGAACTTTGGACCTTTTCCTTCAACTGGAACTGGGTCTAGTCGATTATATGATTCTAAATCAACCTTACATGACTGCCAAAATCAAGTGAGGCCAGCGATTTCTCATTGGATGTCGATCATCACTTTTGAGCAGAATCTGAATTACTATATTAACTGGTGAATAGGGTATGAAATTTAGGTTATACTACAATGGGTCAAGTGATCTACAATTTTGTTTTCAACTATTACAAAAGTAACCATTATGCTCGTTTTTTTATGCTCATTTTAAAAGTTTAAAGAGCAAAATATAATCCACGCTATAATATAGAGATCCTTTCATTACTTTCACCGTCATTGTTTCTCCGTCTTTTATAGATTGATACCGGAGAATATTGTTTCCTGCTGGATTTGTAATGCCAAGTTGTTGAGTATAAGTGGCATGATTGTAACTTGGGTTGACTACAATGCAAAACAATGGGTTTGAATCATGATTAGGAGACAAGCATGATGATTGGACTCGAACAACTCCATGGTCTGTGGGTGGATCGCCATGAACTGTGGAAGGGTCCACTACACAGCTGGGTGAACAAAATCCATGTGGGGCCTTGCTCATGGAGCGCCCTTTCTTGTATAATTTGCTGAATGCTAACTAGTAGGAGAAGAAAATCAAAGATTTTCTGTTTTGAGAGGAGAATTATGCGAATACTTACTCAGCCCGGTCTTATCAGCTGCTGGCCTTCTGTGTTAGACTTGAGATGATGGAAGAAACCAACCAGATTTTTTCTTTGAAGTTGGTGTGACCTTCTCTTACTTTGATATTGCCAGTGGAAATTAGGGATGAGAAAAAAAAATATGAACAACTTTTAAAATTTCTTTATAAATTTTAGGGAAAAAGAAAGCATACGAGGCTTTTTGTAATTTTGAAAAAATCAACATGATTCTCGAATTATTTTTAGTTCATTATAATCTTTCAATTTAAAAAATAGACACAATGTGATATTTTAATTAACATTTTTTGTTGTTGATTGTTACGAAATTAATGAGACAATTCATGATACTGATGAGATGGTTCATGATGATTAATGATGTGACAGATGACATAATATATTAGTTAAATTATTTTTTATTTTATTCAAAGGTGAAATTGATTTTTTTAAAGTTCAGGAACTTATTTAATTTTTTTAAAAATAATAAAAAATATTTCAAATATAAAAATATTCAAATATTTAAAAAATTATATAAACATATTGAAATTAAAAAAAACTACTATAAATTTAAATATGTATATTAAAATACTAAAAATATCATTAAAAATTAAAAAATTAAATATATATTAAGTGTTGATGATATGAGTATATGACATGTAACCATGGACGAAACTAGAACTAAATATTGGCAGAGGCTGAAATATTGGAATATTTAAAAAAATATAAAGGTTTATTAAGTATTTAAACTCAAAATTAGTATGAACTAAGCAATTTTAGTGATTAAGAGATTGTTGTTATCTTTGAGGTCTCGAGTTGGAACACTGCTCATGTGGGGGTATGAGCGTTCATTGTTAAATAGTTGAGAGTCTTTTACATATATTACCTTGTATTCACTAAAAAAACTCAAAATTCACAAGATAACACTTAATTTGTATAATATTAAGACTTACAATGACCTAAATTGTTATTAAATCAAAAATTTTGAGAACACGAGGTTATCATTCTTTAGTTCGGTCCTACTTGATTAAATATTTAATAATTTTGTATATTTTTAATTTAAATATTTATTTTTACATAAATCAAAATACTATTAGACTAAAATTATATCAAATATACAAATTTAACAGGGATCGGGGCCCTTTTGGGCCCTCACTATTCTCCGCCCCTGCATGTAACATATAGTCATATCATGAACATTTGTACAAAGTATTCATATTGGATTAATTGAGATTTACAAAGTTTATATCTAAATATAATTAGGAAATATAATAATTTGTTTGTATTAATACACACATCTAATCGTACTTCTAATAATTTTTAATGGTATTTTAGTATTTTTAATATATATTTAATTTTTTAGTATTTAGTATTTAGTATTTAGTTTTATTTTAAAAAAAATAAATATGCGCCTAAAATTTTAGAAAAATTAATTTGGCCTTCGAACAAGATTAAAAAAATAATTTAACCCATCAGTCATGTCATCTGTCATATTATCAGTCACTGTAAATCATTATGTCAGTATCGTTAATTGCCACATCAACATTGTAACGGTCAACAAAGGAAAATATTGGTCAAAATATCACATTAAATTTATTTTCTGAGTTGAAGAGTTATATTACTTTTTTTCTTTAAAAGTATAAGGGTTTCATATGTTTTTTTGCCAAGTCTAATTAATAATAAAGCTGATTATTTTTTGAATAGTCTGAGATAAATATAAAGTAATATATATTTAAAACTTTCTTAATAAAATGACAACATATACACCCTACAACATAATTGTTCATACTCAAAATTTATACGGAGAACTCACTCATTTTTGTTAAGCGTGAATATATGCGTCATCAAATCAAATTAAAACTTTAAATGTAGTTTATATTAAAATGGTAATGTTATTAATTGCACTTTAATTTTCAAACACCAACACTTACTACAACATATGGTAAAAGTGGTGGGTATCGGCTAACGACTATACCACCCATTTGGGCAGTACTTGTGTGGAGGATGGGCTGGAGACCAACACAGGCAGAGCTCCACCATTATCTCCCACTTCCATTCATTACTGTATTACCTTCACCTGCTTCCACTCTATCTTTCCTTTATCTTTTTACTCTCAATAGCTTCATTTATTGGGGCTGGAGCCCCTAAAGAATGGAAGCAAGTCGTAGGAGTAAAACAAAAGCAAAGTATCATGGTGAATGAAACCCTACATGTTCACCGCAATCCATCCTCATATGAAATTTCATATGAAGTAAATACAAATAAAATTTTAAAATGAACACTAATAATAAAATAAATAATAAAAATAAAAAAATTAAGTTTTAAGATGGACACGTACGAGAACACATACATCCGCCATTGAATGTGCTAGATTAGATTCCATACACTAGCTTTTGGGGCGAGAGTTTGAGACTGAGAGTCTTTTTACCAAATTTTAGAATTACAGTGTACTTAATTAACTAGAATTAAGCAATCATTGAATCAATAAAGTATAAACAGGTGCTTGAAGTGGTACATATTCAGACAGATAGGCCACAATAATTTATTTCAATCATCAGCAATGTGGCTTCATGCTTAATGATTTATTCTATTCTCTTTTTCCATTTATTACTTATTAATAATTTATTTTTTTTTGTGATAAAATTTTTGTTTCCCTCCCCCTCACAGTTGTCAATTTTTATGAATTTTCCTCTGCAAACCCAACTGCCTCTTTTCAGAGCAATCTTCCCCCCACAAAAATTAAAGAAAAATACAAATAAAACATAAAAAAAAGCAAAATGTCCAGACCTATATCTCTTGAATCAAGATTCAGCCACAACTTGAAATTAAATCCAGCTCATCATAATTCATTTATATATATATTATGTGATTATATTTTTTTAAATAAATACTTAAATATATTTCGACATAAAATATTATTTTTGAATAGTTTGATATAATTATAAGATAATATTTTTTAAAAATTTTCTTAGATATTGACAACACATATTATAGACGTAAGTGTTTGAATAATTTTTTTAAGAAAATAACATATTCTTTTATCACTGAAAATATCTAAATAAACTCTCAACCTAAGAAATTTAAATAAAGTACAAGTGAAAGAAGAATAATAAATGAACGATTTATTTATTTTATCTGATAAATAAACATGTATAATTGAAATGATATTAATAATTCTAAAAGTAACTTACATATT